CCTTGTCCATTTCGTTTGAGTGGGGAGCATCGCTCTGCGCCCTCGGTCACCTCTACCTTTAATAGCATCGCACCGGCGTCGCCGAGCCACGCCAAGGCCAGCTCGCAGCGCCAGTCTAATCTGAGTAATTGCGTGCACCAGAGGATTGAGTAGGAACCTAGATACACGCTGAACCCTCCCACTGTTGCTGCCAACTAGTGTCGAGCCCCAATTTGAAGCTTCCTTGGACGTCGACCATCTTAAGACCCCACGGCAGCGCTCGTCCAATTCACCTCGCACCGTCCACCTTCGTTCAAATCATTGGCACTGTGTCTTTGTCTTGTTCCCCTCTATCCCGTGCGCACCCCAAATGGCCCTGCATTGCTTGCCCAGTGCCGCTGACGTAGTCGCGCCATCGCGGTCGTCACTGTGTTTGTCGTGCACGCGTGGCTGGACTCACTCGGCCCGTCTCCGGTCAAGCCATCACGTCTGGTAGGTTCTGGGTGAGTTGCTGATGCCCAGCCTCTAGTCCTATCATTTCATCTTCACCTTGTCTCATGGGAACACGACCATCACCGCTGCAGGAGGTCCGCCGTCGTGGAGGGACCTTGGGATAGCATCTCCATTCACCGCTTCGCCGCCTACCGCATCAAATTGGCCTCTAGGTGAGCATCGGCTCGCTACTAGGGGCGGGGAGGGGCTGCTCTAGCCGGCGTGACTGCCCGGTGCCAGCGCCGCCGTGCCGGTGCGTGCGCGAGTGCCCGGGGGACCCAGCCGTGGTAAAGAAGGAAAGGGGGAGGGGCGTATTTGTAAGATAGCTGACTGAAGGAATAGTGATATGGGCCTCGATTGGATTCAGTAGTAAAGCGAGGACGTTTTAGCAAATGTATCGGCGCATGCGGGCCTCCCCGTCGTGGGCCGTCGTCGCGCGGATGGGCCACGTCAGCGTGGGCCACGCTGGTGGGTCACAGTGCACGCGCGCGTGAGTCGTCGGAGTGGGCCGAGCCGCTCGCGCAGTGGGCCGCGCGGGTGGGTTCGGTTTTCCTTTTTCCAGTGAATTAATAAATATTTATTCAATTTAGTTTTGAGCTGATCTTTGTAAAATTATAGTAAATTCTGTAGGCGTCCAAAAATAGTGAAACAAAATTTGTTAGGTTCACAAAAATGTTGTCTATGTGTTGGTGTAGTTAGTTTATAGTTAATGATAGATTCATAATTTCACTTTAGAAAGCTTAGTATTATTTAGCTTAATATTTGTAGGAATTCTTGTGGCAAATTGGTGATAGCTTTAGCCATGAAATTTTTACAGTAGGCTCATTAGATTATTATGTGCTCGCTATAATTTTTGTAGTCCTAGAGTAGGTTGATAAATAGAATAGCTAGTACTCCTTGTTTTATCATATATAGAGTAAATCGATATTAAGAATAGGGATTCCTTTAGTTGCTAAGTTAATACATGAAATGTTTCATACCAGTTTAGTGGGAATGATAGGTAACATAGCGTCTTAGTCGGTAGAGCTAGTTTAGTAGCTTGAAATAGGTATTTTATGTCAAGAGTTGCTGTTGCCGTATTATTAAGTATTGCATCATCATTTCATGCATGTAGATAACGAATTGGTAGAGTTTGTTCCTGCGGGCGAACAGGAGTTCGAGGAGATCATTAAGGGGTACGAGGAAGAGATTCTCGTATAGGAGGAAGCCCCGAAGCCGTTCGTTGCTGACTTTGTTGACACCCCGCCAGCCCAAGGCAAGCCTCGGTGCATAACCCCTATTTTAGAATGATCATTGAATATATATATATATATGATGCGCATTTACGTTACTGACATTTTATGAAAACTACATGCATAGATATACTTACCTATGAGTCCTATTAGTATAGATCGAGTAGCTGCTATGCTTAGGATTTCGATAGCGTGGGTAACCTACCATTACTCACAATAGGTGATAATTATGATCACTCGTGATAAAATGGTGGAAAGGAAAAATGGAGACCGGATAGGGATGTGGTTTGGGTATTGGTGGGTGTAAGAGGTTGTGTCCTGCGGCCAACAGGGCATAGTTTGGTTACACTTTTTCCCTGTCTATGTCGGTTAAGGACCGACCGTTACATTGGGTTCTAGGCAAGTCATAGACTTATTATCCCGAGCACATACTTGGGTATGGGCGTAGAGAAGGCTTCTTGCTCTCTTGTCATGCGTTATGGCTCTTTCCGGACCGACTAATCGGAGGCGGGGATGGTGGAGGTCTAAGCACCACACTGAGTCTAGGACTCAGGAGCGGGGGCTTGGAGTCCAAGTTTGGACGGGCACCTGGACCCCGTGATAGGAGAGTGGTGGGCTGGTCCTGCTTATGCCTAGGGTACAAGCTGGGCGTGTGTTTTTGGGGTACCCAGATGGGTACATTGATTCGCGAATTGCCGGGCAATCCGTTACGGCTTGTCTACAGTCTAGCACCGTAGTAAGAACTAAAAGATGAAAGGTGATGAAATGGATCTGATTGCTCAACCTTTGCTTGAAAGTAGGACATGTGCTTACATAGAATGCCTAGATAATGAATTAATCATGACTGCTAATAATAACATAAATAAGGATTCACTATTAGCATTGCTTTCTGCAAAAAGAAATCCAGCAAAGCATAAAACTTATCATATCCCTTGGAGTCGGGAAAGTATTCCCACTAGTCGGATAAGACTTGCGAGTACATTGTGTACTCATGGTTTATTTACCCCTGTTGCAGGTAATGCTTGAGGAGTAGCCATTGTGTGAAGGATTCTTCTGCTGGGCACAGACAGATCCTTATTTTTTATTGATAGATGTGTATTTTCATTCCATTGTTTAATATTCCACACTCTTAATTTGGTAATGTAATAATACATTTCTAAGAACTCTGGATGTATGAAATGTACTAAGTATTATAACTCGTTCTCATTATTGGATCCTTGGGGAAAAATGTGGATTATTCGGGCTCTCCCTTGGGGTGTGCTCGATGGAACCTGCCCGACGTAGCTCACTCTCGGGGTGGTTAGTGTTAGTGGAAGACAAGCGCCTTCGTAAGTGTGTTATTTCGGACGGTTCTGCCACACGGTGTCTCCGCCGACTCGCCTGCCATCGTCGCCAACTGCTCTCCGCCTTCAACTCCATCAGCAGCGGTGGTCGACTCCTCCGCAAACCGCCGAGCGCCCGGGGACTCTAGGGCAGAGTCTGCTGGCATGGTCTCTGTGCTGGGAATAGCCCCCGGCTGCTCGCCAGTCTAGCCGGAAGGATTCAGATCCTCCGCGTGCCCCGTCCTGTATCAGATCAGCTCATCAATCACCGTAACTATTAAAACCGGATAGCTATCGATCTCAAGGCAAAGATACTTACATGTCAGCTTCCCGATAGATGGTTTTGAATCGACGCTGCCTTCCCGAGCACCTAGGCACTGCTCTGGGGTCAACCCGCGTGTCCTGAACTGGAGGTCTTGTGGCCCCCGCCATCGGCGTCTCCTCTGCCTGCCGCTCTGGGACTCCTTCCCCTCCCTTCGACTACACCACCGCGCGCGTGTGGCGCGATGACGCTTTAGTGCTCGGAGGGGGGGCTATTGGAGCCTCGTCATCGTTCGACCACTCGGACACCGCCGCACTCTATGTCTGAGTCGCCCGATCACCACCAAGTGAGATGTCGCCCGGCTTACGGGGAGCTGCATCAACCATTCTTCTCTTCTTTCCGACCGGCTCATCTGTCGTCGTCTTTTTACCCCGAACCTTCTCCAGCACCGAGGGGGGACTCTCCTTCCGACCAGCACCTGCGCCTCTGGATTTGGACGAGGTATTGACGGCACCATCCTCCGGTTGAGTGGTCGGCCTGGCGTCCACTACCTTTGGCCAACCGCTCCTCGGCACGCCCGAGAAGTACGCCGCCCATTCCTGCAAATGGATCTTTCCACAAGCGAATCAGTCCACTGCTCGGTGCTAGCACGGGATAAAAAGCACTAGGAACAACAGTCCAGATTTTTACCTGAGGAGGTGGGTTCATGCAGTTGAAGGCTCTTGACTGTCCTGGCACGTTGAACGACATGTTTGGAGCGAATAGTTCAGCGGCCCGGTGTAGCACAGCCTCCTTCGTCAGTCTCTCCATCCTCTCCCGGGTGCCGTCAGTGTCTCCCTTGAAGTCAAAGCTCGGATAAGCCCTCTCCTTGCAGGGCTGGATGCGGCGCACTATGTTGAAAGCGGTCGAACTCGGTCGGGATAACCCCAATACTGTTTTCACTTTTACATTTCAATACGAAAATGAAATCGAATTCGGGAAGGTCGGAAACGAACAAGAAAACAAACTAACAGGATATCGAAAACGAACTAATTCGATCGGGAACATGTCGAACATGGTCGGAATACGAAAAGCAAAACAGAAACACCGGCCCGTAGAACTTAGTTGAGCATGACAACATGCCAACAGTCGGTACCGACACAACCACACATGGTCATGCACAATTCACTTGTACACATACATTCATACACAAATCACCAATTCACCATGACAATTGATAAATAGGCAACAGGTCTAAATATTTAGAGACATTTGGGCTAGCCAACATGTTATATTTCAGAAGACTTCCCATGTCTTCTAGTTCCTCAATTTCCTCTTCATTCCCTCATTGATTTCTTCCTCACGCAAGTTGGCAAGTTGCCATTGTGAAGAAAAGCAAGATAACAGTATCAATAAGGATCAATGAAAGGACTAACAACCAAAGAAAAGATATGCATAATCTAAAATGACCAAATGAAAATATACCTCAAGCTTAAGCTTATTAGCCATTGCAAGAGACAATGCCTCCACTTCAAGATCACTCACAATTGATCCAACATATTTAGAATCTGAATACAAAAGAAAGATATGAAATCAGTCCATTTTTCAAGTGCAAATATAAGTTTGTAACTAAAAAGTATGTATGTAAATACAGATCATCACCTTTTCTTCTTGCTGCAGACTACCCAATCTTTGGTGCAAATCAATGCCTCTACAATCTCGTGGTCAAGGCGATTACGGTGAGGGATCAACAACACGACCAGCAGCACTAAAAGCAGACTCGGATGCAACAGTCGATACTTGTATGGCCATCACATCACGAACAATCTGTGTAATGATAGGATAGTCTTCCCTCTTGTTCTTCCACCAAGCTAAGATGTCAAACTCACCAATAATTTTTTCAAGAGGTTCGGCCATGTACTTCTCCAACTCATTTGACTCAACCATACCAGGTTCACTTGCGTAATATAAGAAGTTTTCAAGGTCTTCATCTACATCCCCATTATTATATCTCATTGCATTACTAGGTCCGATTCGCCGCTTACTTTTCTTCTCTCGATGTTGCATTAGCCGAACTAGCATAAAACCGATACAACTTCTTTATCACACTAACAAACTCATCAAGTTTAACTTGATACTCATCACCATAGAACTTCCTCATGTAGTATTCAATAAGCTTTTTCTTATATCTAGGATCAAGAAAACAATCCACAAAGAAGAGCAATGTTGGATTCGCCGCCAATATTTCTCAAACTTTTCATTCATTGCAATTGCCATTGCACTAATTGTGGCATCATCACTAAAGCACCATTCATCAAGCATGAGTTTTATATCACAGAAACCTTTGTAAAACAAATTTGCAGTAGGATATGAAGTACCGGACAGAATTTTAGTGAGGTCATAAAATTTCTTCAAGCATTGATAAAGTGTAAATGCCTTGTCCCATTCAAAGCAGTGAGGGAGACATTTTGTCATACCTACGACGATTTCTGAGACTTCAAACCTCACAAAAGCATGCTTGTAGTACAAAGCATCTCTCAGCATGAGATAGGTAGAATTCCACCTAGTCGACACATCCATTGAGATACCCCTCTTTGTGTCCAATCCAGATTCAGTGGCACACTTCAAAAGCATTTCCCATTGTAATGGAGATCCTTTCACAGCTAACACAAGTGATTTGATTTTGGTAATTGTTGCTAAAATTGCTTTCAACCCATCTCTAGCAACCAAATTGAGGATATGACAGGCACATCTAACATGAAAAAAGATCCCATCACAAACTAGAGAGCCATTATCATTATCTTTCAGATCTGAAATTATATCATGAACAGCCACTTCATTGGAACTAGCATTATCTAAAGTCAAGGCAAACAATTTCTTCTCAATGTACCAATTAACCATAACTTTAGTAAATGTTTCTGACAGCTTTGCACCAGTATGCCTTCCTTTCACATTGAAAAAACCAATAATTCTCTTCTTCATACGCCACTCATCATCTACCCAGTGAATTGTGACACACATGTATCCTTTGTTTTGGCATGAGGTCCACATATCCATGGTTGCACTAAATGCCTTCGCATAGTTTTCAAGTACGCATACAAAACTTCCTTCTCTTCCAAATATTTATCCATTATTTCTTTCCTAACAGTGATACGTGACTTAATCGGAAAATTAGGATGGAGAGACTTTATGAAATCAACAAGATACTCATGCTCAACTATGTTGAAAGGATATTCATGCATGGTTATTGCCAAATTTAATTTCTGCAAACTAACTTCTTGGTCATATTTGTAGGGCGGAACATGAGTAATTTCAGTACCAGGGTCCTTACCAACTTTGAGCTATTGCTGTCCTTTTACAATACTGTGTTGCGACTTCAAATGGTTCTTAAACCCAGTTGTCCCATGGTTTCCTTCAGCTCTGTACCTTTGCTTGCACTTTGGGAAGTTACAGTATCCCCACAACTCGCTCATATTTGTCCATTCACCTCTACAACCTCAACTTTCTTTGTAAAGTACTTCCAGATCATTGATGTGCACCTCTTCCTCCTCTTGCCGGTCAGCTTGAGCTTGCTCTTGGTCTTAAATCATCCTCTTCATCTTCCTCTAGGTTATCACCCTGTATCTGGACATCTGGATTTGTAATTGGAGTTGCAGCTTCATCACCTTGTATCTGGACATCTAGATTTGTAATTGGAGTTGCGCTGCTGCCACTGGTGCCCACATTTGTAATGCTAGTTTCACTTGGTGTTGAAGAACCCCTTGCAGATGGTGGTGCTGGAGTTCGACTAGAACTAGGACTAGCACTAGGTTTTTGAGATGCAAGCCTTTTACTTGTAGATCCTGATAAGAAAAAAGGAAAACATTGCTAAATCATCAACCTGCCATATTGCGGTTAACAACTACCAGAATTCTGGTTAAATATTTTTCATTGAAAACTCTGAAACTTAGAAAGTAAAAAAAAATAACACATATATGAACCACAAGGGCATTGGTAAACATAAGATTCTTGAAATAAAAAATGGAACAACTATGCATTAGCAGGAATCTGATCTATTAAGAACCATGTATTCCATCAGCCCACGAAGAATGCTATAAATGTATATAAAGAACAAAAGCAGCACACATTCGAGATCGAGAAGGATGGGGCCAAGAACCTCAAGGACGGTGTCAAGGTACTCGAGGATGACGGCTAGGTAGACTTGTGAGAGATCAGGTCAAGATCGAGAAGGATTATGGGCCACGAACCTCAAGGACAGCACCAAAGTCTATCAAAGAAGCATCTAAAGATGTTCCTGTATCAGATCATCGGATTTCAAAGCGTTCCAAGAGGACAAGCTCTAGGAATTCAATCAGTTTGAAAGTCTCTGGTTCCACATCTGTCTATCAGTTGAAACTCATGCTACGGGAATCTTTAGGGGTATGCTATAGATGCTGAATCTACAAGCCAGCTCAGATACTTGTTTAGTGGTACTTGCTATCAACAGTACTCAGCTCTAGAAGGTGATACCGACTGCCTTGGTTCTTTTTTTGGTTACATATCATAGTTTTCTCAATAGAAATAGAAATTACTAGATTCATGTTGAGGTAAGCTAGTTAAGGTCTCTAGAATTTGCTAGCTACGAATTCCTCAGTACATGTACAAGGAAGAAGCGGTGGCGTGCCTAACGGCGACTCCATAAGCTTGCGCACACTCTTGGTCTTGGTCCTGCCGCCTCTCGATCCAGAAGGAGTTTCTCTAGTGGGCGCCATTGTCTTCGACGTTGCCGTCAACTTCTCTGGAGTCTGCAGTGGGTCACGCCTCACGCCAGGGGAGCCGGCCGGTGGGGCGGGGTAGGGTCGCGTCGAGGTGGGGAGGCGGCGCCCAGCCAAAGGCGGAGGCGGGTAGGGGTGGGGGCGGGTCGCGCCGAGGTGGGAAGGCGGCCGGCCAGGCCAAAGTGAGGCGGGCGGGCGGGCGGGGTCGCGTCGAGGTGGGGAGGCGGCCGGGCTAGGCTAGGCGGAGGTGGGCAGGGCGGGCGGGGCGATCTCGCGTCCGAGCCATCGAGGGGAGGCAGCCATTGGGTAAGAGTGTAAGACCGTAAGAAGTAAACCCTATCTTTGTTGGGTCACATTGTCGCTTCCAAATACCGGTCGCCGAAAGTTAATTTGGCATTACTGGTAAGAAATAAATTCGGAATGTCCGCTTTGCGTATACGGGATATCCCGACATAAAAACAGGATATGTGAAAACGATCGGGATAGGGCCCAAACCGATTTCGTCCCGATTTCGAATTTCGTGTTCCGTTTTCCGTACCGATTCTGTTTTTGTCCGAAAATACGAATACGATCGGGTTAAATGTAGAAATCAGAGTGAAACGGAACGAGATATATCCTGACCGTTTTCAACCATTCACTGCCACCACCACTGCATTCATCTTCATGCCCTTTATCAACCCAAGGAGCTCCTTCACCTGCTCCTAACCCACGCTAGAAATAATCTTCGAAAATAATGACTTCATCGGTGTGTGGCATGGGATAGGGCTCACTGGCGGCCGGACGCCATCCGACGGTGACACGGAGAGGAAGAACGCCCGCCTCCACCATTTTGTTGAGCTCCGTCTCCCCCATGAGTGATGGTACCCATTCCTTGTCATGGCTCACCTCGGCGGCTGTATTCTTTGGGTTACCACCTCCCCTCTTCGGCGCCATCTCTCAGATCTGGATCGGAACTGGACAATTTACGCAAGCCTTTTAGCCCTAGCGGCAGAGTGTGTCTGATTGCGATTGGGGGAGCGCAAGGCTGAGGAAGATGAAGTGGCGAAGTGGCAACGGTGGGAGTGCGGAGTGCGGCAGCGCAGTTATAAAGAAACCATATCCACTTTTCGCATTCGAGGGTTTTTGGGAAACCGCGCCATGATTTGCCCCTTTTTGAATTCCCCGAAGCGGCGTGGTGGGCCGTTATCTGGGCTTCTGCCCAACTGCAGCCCATATCGCCCAATTTTTGACGTAACTTGGAACTGCACATCGAATATTCGTCGACTTCTCCGCAATACCATCAAGGCTCTGTAATTTCTACTGTACAGTCATTACTCCGGGTTTTTCTCCATGATTTGCGTAATCGGCACTTCTTGATTTATTCGAGATTTCCACTTATGGCTTGGGAACTACGACATCATTGTGACTTGGTTTCTTACCACATTGGGGACTTTCTTCTGCTTACTGTTGTTTCTGACCCTGACACCGCATGACCACGTCACCAATTGTTAGACTTGGGAACTAAGTGGGCACACTTCACCTTGCGGTGAATGTGCTTTTTCCTTTCAGGGCTTCGTCCGTGGACTGGTTGCCTGCTCGGCTGGTCTTCTGTATTTCTTCTACTTTCTGGACCCTAGCACCACGTGACCACGTCACCTACTATTAGGCTCGGGGACTAAGTGGACACACTTCACCTTGCGGTGTGTTTTCTTTAATCTGGAAGACTCCGTGCCTCTTAAAGTTGAAGAAGATTATCTCCCTTTCTTGTGGTCGGACTCTAAGTGGACACACTTGATCCACTATGAAGAAATTTTTGTTTTTTTTGAACTTGAGCTCCTTACATCCTTCTGGCAAGCCTTACATGGGAAAGCTCGTGCTCGGATCGGACAGTTAAGCTGGTTGGCTACAATCCACAACTGCTCGGCGACTCATTATGGTAGTCGGACCATGAGTCTGACTGCTCGGCTTTGTTTACACCTGCTCGGACAAACTCAAGAAGACGTTGCACAGCGGATACAAGGTGCTCGGGGACTAGCTGTGGGAGTACGACCCCAAATACCCACGACAGACTACATGGGCTGCACTCCTAGGGGCGGTCCAGCTCGGCGTGCACCGCAAGACATCATGGGCGATATCCTAAAGATACTATGGGCATGTTCGTTTGTCTAAATTTTGGAGGAATCTGGATGGTTTGGAGGAATTTGTGAGAGAAAAACACTGTTCCGGATAAAAAAATAAACGAATCAAGCCGGGTTTAAGGGCACGCGAACGAAGCCTATGAGATTTGTTTGGATACGTTCGATTCCATTATTCATGTAATCTGTTATTACTTTTCGGTTATCTCCTAGATCTAACCGACTGATAACTCTGCTCCCAGATTATATAAGGTGGATAGAGACCTCTCAAAAGACACGTAATATCATAGTATAGCCAATACAAACCAACAGACTATAGGAGTAGGGTATTACGTCGTGCTGACGACCCGAACCTGTTTAAACTCTTGTGCTTCTGTAGCCTTCTTATTCTAAATTACACACGTCTCTACGGATCAATCTATTTTCTTGAAATACCCCTCAAAGAACTATCAACAATCGCGCCGTTCGCTGGTCTGGTTTTCCAGACCAGCCGGCTGCTCCTCCTCACACGCTATCATGTATCTTTCAGCTGCTACAGTATTTCTCTCTCACACAACTAACCGCTACAGTGTTTTAGTTTTTTTCCCAGACAAGCGAACGGAGCCGATATATATATATATATACCTAGAAGCCATTTTGCCATAGCCCAGCTCGCAGCTGCTTTAGGCAGCAAGCGGGCCAGACCCAAAAACACCTCCAGGCAAATAAACACGAGACCCCAATAAACAATCCCGCCTGCACGTTATGGGCCTGGCAGCCCCGTCAAGACAAACAAAGGTCTTGTTTACTTCCTAAAAATTTATCTTAAAATGTTACATTGAATTTTGCGATATATATACAAAGTACTAGATGTAGACAAACAAAATAAAACTAATTGCACAACTAAGCGAGAAATTACGTGACGAAACTTTCAAATTTAATTAGTTTATAATTAAATACTAATAACTAAATACAAACGGAAGTGCTACGGTAACTAAAACAAAAAAAATCGCAATCTAAACGCGCCCAAACACGTAAAAAGCGGACTGGACTGCGTGCTGCTGCTCCAAGTCCTATCCAAGTCTTATCGGTCTGTGTGCATCACGTGCTTATAAAGTTTGCATCTAGGCAGTCCCGACTCCCGAGGCATCGTGCTTGCAGCTGCAGCAGTAGATTCCAAGTCCAAAAAAAGGCAGGCTCGGCAGAAATCAGTGCGCTGCGACAGCACGTACACGCGTGCCTTCACAACCATTTTGAACAGTCTCTAGTGGCAGCAGCGCGTACGACGTGTCGTGGGTAAGGATGGGGACTGTCAATGGAATCCACCTTTAGGTCTCGTTTAGATGTGAAATTTTTTATCTTTTGACTACCATAGCATTTTTATTTGTATTTGTTAAAAATTGTCTAATTATAAACTATTTAGACTTAAAAGATTCGTCTCATTAATTATGGGCAAATTGTGTAATTAGTTATTCTTTTTTACTACATTTAATGCTCCATACATGTGCCGTAAGATTTGATGTGACGGGGAATCTTGAAAATTTTTAGATTTTGGGTGAGATCTAAACAGGGCCTTACACTACCCATCCGCCTAACCTAGATCCAGATCCAGTTTGCGGTGGACTCGAACTTAGAGCCCGTTTGGAGGGGCTCCCCCGCTCCGGCCGGCACTGTAGCACTACTGTGGCGGAGACAGGAGAAGCTCTAAATGTGCAGCTTCTCCGGCTCATCTTATTTGAGCTGGAGCCGCTTTTTGTCGTGCTACAGGAAAAAAAACAGTGTTGCATAGTGTCTCAAGAGTAGGAGCCAAAGCACCAAGAGCCGCACCAAACAGGTTCTTAGGGCCTCTTTGGCATGGCTTATGCTAGGTTCGGCTTTATCTATTTTGCGCAAATCGAGGCACTGTAGCGTGAAGCCGTTTTGTAAGTCGGAGTTAAAATAAACTAGAAGCCAGAAAAAACCAGTTTTTCTGGCTTCAGCGGCTTTGACTTTACTGGTGAAGCCGTTTTAGACGAGCCACCAAAGGGGACTTTAATATGGATTGAGCCTCTAAATTGGTTTGGAGCGTCATGTTGGTCTTCTCCGCCTCCATACCCTCTCCAAGTAGTTGCTTGTTCCAAGGATAATAATATTATTTGGTTGCAATCTGCTATCATAATCACAAAAATAAGTACATAGGACTGAGCTCACACGGAGATTAAATCATCATGCTCAAACTCTAGTAACTAGACTTTGCATAGTAACTTTGAGGGGTGTGGTGTGTATTTAGAGAAATAATATCTTTGTCGCGCTTTTTTACAGTCTCTGTAAATAAAAGGGAACGGTCTTCTAAAATCGATTTTATAGCAGTGGACGTGTAGGTAAGGTTTTTGATGAATTTTACATTGTTTTAGTAGTTGTTCATATTATTTATTATGTTATACACACGTGTCTTCAGATTGGCCTTCCACCAGTCCTAATAACTCACTCAATCACTCACTTAAGGCATGTTTGGTTACCTCGGAATGAACACATGTAATAATTTTCGGTCGGAAGGATTGTCTAATTTGTATAACGTTGATTAGCGGGAATGATTCCTGGCATCATTCCACATTAACCGACACATGCCCTTACTTGCCTCCAAAGCTAAATTGCTCTGGTATAACAGAGTCGCCGCAAGCTGAAAATACAGAGGTGCCCCCAAACTTCTCACGATCATACGCCCTGTTCGTTTGGGATTTTTTAACTGATAAATTATGACTAAAAATACTATTAACTAATTTGGTGTGAAAAAAAAACTATTTATTAGCTAAATAAATACGCCGTATAAACCAATCGAGCCAAGCAAATGGAATCGCCGCACTTTTTTGGCCACCTTGCCTATAAAATTAGAAGCCAGCCCGGTTGCTGTCTCCACCAGAACCATCCGATTCCTCCAAAGCCAAAGAATACCATCATGGCTGGCACGGCCAAGACCCTGCTCCTCGTCTTCCTCCTTGCTGTTGCGGCGACCTCGACGCCGGCTGCGGCCACCACGCTGACGCTCCACAACCTGTGCCCGTACCCCGTGTGGCCGCTGGTGACCCCGAACACGGGGTTCCCCGCCATCTCCGAGAACACGGGGCGCCTGGACGGCGCAGGGCGCGGGCTGGTCTCCATCCGCTTCCCGGACAGCTTCTGGGCGGGGCGCGTGGTGGCGCGCACGGGCTGCAGCTCCGTGCCGTCCCGCTGCGAGACGGGGAGCGCGCCGCCGGCGACGGTGGTGCAGCTGGTGGTGCACGCGGAGGGGCAGGACCTGGCGGCGTACAGCGTGAGCCTGGTGGACGGGTTCAACGTGCCCGCCGTGGTGAGCCCGCAGGCGGTGGCCGCCGGCGGCGGGCAGTGCCCTGCCCTGGGGTGCGCGGCGGATCTCAACGCCGGGTGCCCGCGCTCGCAGCGCGTGGTTGGGGCAGGGGGCGGCGTGGTGGCGTGTAAGGGCCCCGCGGGATACTTCAAGGAGCGGTGCCCGCTGACGCGCACCACGGCCACCGACGTGGAGCCCGTGCCGCAGCGGTGCTTCGCGCCCGGCGAGCTCAAGGTCGTCTTCTGCCAGTCCGCCATGGTGAACAACGCCGCCGGCGAGCCCGGGCGCATCCGCACCGTCGTCGCGGACAACTAGAGCTAGCTACCTGTTGTAGCCGCCGGAGGAGAAGCCGGCCCTCTGGCCTCTGGCTTCGTTGCCAAGTGAATAAGCTGCGCGTTCAGCACGTGGTAGCAGTATGCATCATCTAGGAGCACGTATGTTTTCGGGTTGCGACATGTGTCATGTATGTTTTCGGTATTATGCATCATCATCTAGGAGCATGTATGTTTTCGGGTTGCGACACGTGTCATGTCTATTGCAGCTGTGAAGATTCCAAATCCAAAAGAAAAGCTCGGGCCGGCAGAAATGAGTGCGCTGCGGCCGCACGTACACGCGTGCCTGCACCACCATTTTTAACAGTCTCTGGTGGCAGCGGCACCTACTACGTGTCGGGGGATAAGGACGGGGACACTGTATCAAAGCGTGTGCGGTGTGCGGACGGATATGCCAAATGCCATGGAATCCACCTTTTGCCTTTTTACATTGCAAGTTTTTTCACTCTCTCTATCACATTAAATTTTTGGACACATGCATGGAGTATTAAATGTAGATAAAAAAATAATTAATTATATAGTTTAATTATAAATTACGATATAAACTTTTGAGCCTACTTAGATCATGATTGGACAATAATTATCAAATACAAACAAAATGCTACAGTACCAAATATTGATTCCTAACCCCAATCTAAACCAGGCCTTTTATCTAGGGAGAGCAAACTGATAACAGTACTGCCGCGTCACATTTACTTATGCAGGCTTCGCTCTTATAGGCCGTACTTCTTCGGTCGACGAATGGAATTATCCTTGGTGTAGTGGTAAACAGTAATATGCGGATCCATTATTACTGTTAATGGTTGTTTGACATTTCTGTATGAAGAACAAACCTTTTGAGCAGCTCTGGGCTTTGATGATGGGCCGTGGGTATAGCTCCGGCCTGGGCCGAGATGGACTTGTCTCGGGTGGGGTCTCTTTGAGCTTGTTTGAATGGAACAAATCAGATGAGAAAATTTTTTGGGCGGTTCTCGAAATTTGCATGAGATGTTAACTAGGTCCCTTTATTTTCAAAGTGCTATTTCTGAGCCCCTCAACTTGGTTCCGGGTCTCATCCAGGTCCCAATAAATTTTAACCCACATTTATGCTGACGTGGCATGCATATGACGAGTGGGCCAGCGCCATCCCACCAGGCCGAAGTGCCGAACCCCCTCGGTCCCCTGTCTCTCTCTCTCGGTCGCTTCTGCGGCCTTGACCGCGGCGGGCCGATAATGAGCGGCGCCCCTCATTATGGCCGCGTTCGCTTCGCTGAAAAACAAGCCGAAACATTGTCCCGGTTGATTTGTTGTGAGAGAAAAACACTGTTCCAACTGAAAAAATAAGCTGAAAAGTACATATTATAAGCCAAGCGAACAGAGCCCGTAAGGGAGGCGAACCCTAGCGGCAGGGAGGATGAGAGGAATTTCGCCGTAGCGCGTGAGACGGGGAGCGCTAGCCCGCCAACAGCCAAAAGAGCACACGAGAGGCCGAAACGAGCCGCAAGCCCGGGGGAAACGAGGGGGATGGGCGTTCCCCAGGGTCTTGCTCCGGACTGCTTTAAGCGGCGTGCGGGCCAATCCAAAACACCTCCAGGCAAATAAACAACCCCGCCTGCACGTTATGGACCTGGCAGCCCCATCCAGACAAACGGGGGAAACGAGGGGAAGGGGCCTCGTTTAGTCGGCTAATTTTTGAAAATTTGGATACGGTAGTACTTTCGTTTTTATTTAACAATTAGTGTTCAATCATGGATTAATTAAGCTTAAAATGTTCGTCTCGCAATTTTCAACAAAACTGTGCAATTAGTTTTTTTCGTCTACATTTAATGCTCCATACACATATCGCAAGATTCGATATGATAGCTACTGTAGTATTTTTTGAGAAAACTTTTTGAACTAAACAAGACCTCGCAAAAACCGGACTGCACTGCGTACTGCTGCTCCAAGTCTTATTGGGCTGGATCTGAACACCAACGTCACCGGCTTCCCCTACATGGGCTCTTACCAGGGGCTCCTCCAAGGTGACTTCGCTCCAAGCGGTAGAGGGCTTCTTCCTCTTCGCATTGGCGCCAATTTCGGTGCTGGAGGGTTCGTTCCTCCTCGGTCGACTGCAGGAGCGACCAGATCTGGGAAACACCTAGCTTCTCGCGCTGCTATGCATCGCTTCAAGGTGGGAACCGGTAGCAGCCGTGCCCGCGCGCCAGTAGCTAGGATGCGTAGAACAGTTGCTTCGGGCAGTTCGTATCCTCCAACTGAAGGAATGGAGCCAGAAGATGGCGACAACATCCCACCCGAGGTGAGCTTGTTCTATGATCTGATTCGTACTTTGCTCTGTTTATTATTTATGTTATGCATGTCATATTTATGGTTCTGCATGCCTGTTTTTTTACTAGATTCTCATACTTTTCATTGATTTGATGTGTTAGGTTTCATTTGTTTGATGTAGAAGTATTTATTTGTCTAATCTGTTTGATCTACAGGTGTGTGTTAAGTTGTATTTGTTTGATCTACAAGTTTGTATGAACTACTACTGTTTAGTTGTTTGTTATTGAAGTGTGTACATGTTTCATGTAGTACTATGTATTTATTTGATCTATATCTGTCTATTTCAATTTTTGTCTCTTGTTCTCTGATCTGCTTCTCTACTAGTTTGACGAGGCAAATTGGTCAAATACATTTGTGCTCTAGGCAGTACCGACTCCCGAGGCATCGTGCTTGCAGCTGCAGCAGTAGATTCCAAGGCCTCGTTCACTTAAAAAAAAAGTAAACTCGGTGAATAGTACCACTTTTGTCTTATTTGATAAATATTGTCCAATCGTGGACCAACTAGGCTCAAAAGATTCATCTCGTGATTTCCAACTAAACTGTGTAATTAGTTATTTTTTTTACCTACATTTAATACTCCATGCAAGTAGCTAAACATTGATGTGATGGAGAGAGAGTAAAAAAACTTAGAATTTGGATGACATCTTGTTTGACCAGGCAAAATTAATGTGATGAAGAGAGAGTAAAAAACAAGGCGCAAGTCCAAAAGAAAGGCAAGCTCGGCAGAAATCAGTGCGCTGCGACAGCACGTACACGCGTGCCTGCACAACCATTTTGAACAGTCTCTAGTGGCAGAAGGCAGCCGCGCGTACGACGTGTCGTGGGTAAGGACGGGGACTGTGTCAATGGAATCCACCTTTACACTACCCATCCGCCTAACCTACGTTGGGTCGCCATGGGTTTATTATGGAGAGAATTTGCTCATTGCCATCAAAATTTATAACAATATGTTGATTGCCATAGAAAATCATAGATTTGCTTAATTGACATCAATTTATAATTTGTGATTCCTTAACTACCATCACCGTCACATAGTTTTTTTTCCCTTAATTGCCATTGACAGACGACGTGGCCTGTGTCTCCGTGTTCGCTTGAAATAAGCTGTCCGATTTTGGCCCTGTATGTCATGTTAACTGTGTTCAAAATGTTGCTTTGCTGATGCCTGTCATGTTGCTGTTCAAAATGTTGATGTCATGTTATTTATTCTCCTATGGACATATGCTTCTGGTGTGGAGAACAATGGCATGAAAGGGATTGTTGGAGAAAATTCAAGAGGGGTAAAACTGTCTTTTCCCATCTAGTCTAACAGATTGTTGCTCCTGTTAACGGTGATGGCAAGGAAGGAATCAAAAACTACAAATTGATGGCAGTGAAGGAAAGCTGTAATTTTTTATGGCAATCAACACATCTCCTGCAACTAAAAAGAACAAAGTGTGGACAATTTTTAGTGCGACAAAATTTCGCCATACCTTCGTCCTGCCGGCCCGTGCGATCCCACGCCACCCCCGCTCCCCGACCCTTTCCTTGGAAATCCGTCTCCAATCACGCTTGACATACCGTGGCCTCCAATCATGCTCTCGGTCCCTCTCTCGCCCACGCTACCGTCTCCTCTCCATGCGCCGTCGACCTCACCGTTCCCCGCTTGTCGTTCGTCGGATTGAGGTTGCCGTGACAAGCTCTGCCTCCTCTTCCTCCTTGTCGTGTCGCCGCCGCCGCCGACGGAGCTCGACCTCGCTATTCGCGCTCTCCCACGACGCCGCCTCCCATTCACCACCACCGCCCGCTTCTTCCCCAACGGCGACTGGGTCACCTCCGCCAACGCCTCCGGCTGTGTTCGCGTCAGCAGACACCACCGCCCGCTTCTCCACCCACGGCGACTGGTCGCCTCCGGCTGCGTCCGCGTCAGCAGCCACCGCGGCCGCGTCCTCGCCGCCCGTGGCTGGTCCCAGCCGGATCGCCTGCCCGCACCACCCTCGAGCAATGCCGCCACCAGATCCCTGCCGCGCTGCCCCCTAATGGCTTTGGTTAACCGCGTGCCGCCGTTGGCGGGACCTCGGTCTGTTTGCATCCGCTCCATAATTCTTAGGTGTGTTCCTGTCTTCTGCTCTAGATCGATTGACTCAATGGTCAATTCTTCCCGTCAAATTAGGAACCCACATGAGTGCCTACACTAGGTTGCAGGTTCATACATCTTTTTCAGTATGAGCAGCAGGCGCCCTGTTCCACTAGAATTCCGGAGACTGATTTAAGTATCGATTCTGCAAAAGCATATATAATAGAGATATATTGAATTTGATCGGTTGCTGCAAAATTGACTGGCCTTACAGGGTGGTTGCCCAGCTTATGAAAAAAAGAGAAAAAGGGCAACCATAATCAACTACTAAAACTCACATATGGATCATTGCATGGTTTTTTTATTTACTGATTTCCCAATTTTTGATATTGCAAACTGTGTTCAAAGGTTTTAATCTTTGGAAGGTTTTGTGTTTGTGAGTAAATCTGCTAATGTACCTAACCATACACCCAAAATGGAAAAAGGACATGATTTTTAAAATAATTGTTTTAGTGAACTACAGAACCAGCTATCAAATTCAATTAGCACATGGACTTGTGCTATAATTTGTACATGCTTCTTTAGACACATGACAAGAATTGTGATAAATGTATATGAATGATGTG